CCTGTGTTGATTTGGGGAGGTTGAAATTCAACATCCACTCTACTCCTGCCCCCTTCCCTCAAGATGCTCCCTGGAGCTCCGAGATAAACCGGAGACAAGGCCATAAACGGGCCAGTGACCGGCTCAACCGGACGAGACTACAGAACTTCCCACTTGGGGTCTGAGAACAGCTCCCCCTGGGGCACCCTGCAAGGACACCCGTGTTGGACACGTGTCTGTAAAGTAGCCTGTGGTGTGTGTTAGGATGTGGAGGACAATCCTCTACTGGTAACCACAGGTTTGGTGCATGACCAGTTAGGTGCTCTTGTGACCCACAGCACAACAGAACCAAACACTGCCTGGTCCTGCGCCATCTCGCAATCGTCGTTCCTATGTTTGAGCCCATTGCTGTAGGCACTGTGTCAAACTACCTTGCTGAGAATCTTAAAAGACCCCCCACCCAAAGCCAGCATCACTGCTATTGAGCCAGTTCCGGTCCGGAGTGGTCCTACACGACAGTAGAACTGATGCTTAAGCCTAAGCTTCTGAGGTTGAAAACCCTCCCTGGACAGACAGCCTCATCTCCCACCCACAGAGCAGCCAGGGTCTGAGTTGACAGACCTGCAGTTACTCCTCATGGGCACCAGGGGGTGGACAGGGTTCATGCCCTTTCCCTGGTCTGAAGGATGGGATTGGAGTTCCTGAAGGGGAGTGATGGTTTAGGTCCTCCTCACGTGGTGTCTGAGGTTGTGCACCCCAACACCTCGTCCTCAGTGATGCAGGGAGATGTGGGGACTTCTGTGATGGATTTTACCTCCTCCCAGCAGGGTAACCCCACATTCAGTGGTAAGGGCCTCATTCATAACTTGGGTCAGATGAGATTCCGATGACTCAGGGTGGAGGCAAATGCAGTGGGAATTGTCACAGTGTTATCAACATGGTCGCTATCTCCCAGGACCCCCCGGATGCGGAGTGGGTGAGGAATGGACTTGGGCAGCTCAGGAAGACATGGGCACAGACCAGACAAGGTGGGATGCTCTGGACTCTGAGAGACTGACCCACCTCCTGCTACTGTGCTGATGTAGCTTCTGCCTCAGTTCTGACACTTTTGGTCTTCTGATCCCCCTAGGAAAAGATTAGAGCCTCGTTCTTTTAGGGCCCAAGTAGGACAAGTGAAGCCCAAGTGGCAGAGTGACCTTGTTCAGGAGGTGACTGAGATCATCTCCCACCCCAACTACAACCCTGTGCTGAAAGGTGAAGGTGGGGCAGATGTGGCCCTTGTCAAGCTGGGGGCCCCCGTGAGACTGTCTCAGGGCGTCAGTCTGGTCACCCTCGCTCATGAGAAGCTCACAGTCCCTGCAGGCACGAAGTGCTGGGTGACTGGATGGGGTAACATTGAACCAAAGGCTAAGAGTCAGGATAACTGGGTCCTGATGGCATGGGGAGGGTTGGAAGGGGGTGAGGATACAGTGGGCATCGTCACAGTATTATCAATAGGGAGGGCCTCAGTCTCCCTGGGACCCTCTGGGGATGGATGTGGGTGGGGATTGGACTTGGTCATCTCAAGAGGGTACGGTTCAGGGAAAGACCAGTGAGGTGGGAGGCAATCTCTGCCCTTCCTCTCCCTCAGTCCCTGCACAGCCATTCCTGTCCCCAGTGCTCCCTGCATCTTAAGGGGGAGGATGGGAAACGAGGCCAGCAGGGACTGAGGGACCTGTTCATGTCCTCTGCTAGAAGTGGCCCACGTCCACTCTGACCCCAGGGTCCA